GAAAGAAAAAAAAAAGCAATTCAATGTTGTGCAAAAGTTTTACGCGCGAAAACGCGCGCGCATGCTCGTACGCGCGATTTTTTATAAATGCTTAGAATGGCCTAAAACGTATGCAAAATGATTTTCAGACGATTTTGAGCATTTCAAAATTTTGCGCGCGCATTGACGCGCGGACGTACGCGCAGGCGCGCGTTATTTGACCTTTTATTGACCGGACGGATATTGACCTTGATCATGATAAATATGAACGAGAAATACCTTTTGGTTATGAAGATATGATCATGAGTTGATTTTCGAAAAATTTTACAAAATGGCGCCTAGATGACGTCATCAGTGAAGGTCAATGTTGAAAACGTTATTGTGCTTTGTACATATGTCTATACATATGTGTGCCAAATTTCTAGGCATTTGATTGAGCCATTTCCAAGTTATCTTGTTCACAAAAAAGTGGTTAGAAATAAGAAAAATATACTAGATTTGTAATACTTGTTTGGAACAAGTATAGGTGGGCTGATCCAAAAAAAAATTGAGACAAAATAAATGGCACATTTGGATAGCTAATTGTCCCAGCTACAACATACTCCAAGTTCAGCGTAAACGAAGCTAAAACGACGTAGATATTATGACGGGAATGTAGAATCGAGTTTTGAGAAAAAGTCATGTCCCATAGAGAATACACGCAAAATGTGAAAAAATTAGCTTGCCTCCTTTAATCGCAAAAATACGCCATGATGCCTTTGTCAAAATGAAAAATTGTGACAACTGGATTTGTAGACAATTGTCTCAGCTAGAACATATCAAAATTTAAAAAAAATTAATCAATTTTTAGAAAGATACAATCAATTTTCCAAAAAAATGCTGACGTCATAATAGGCAAATTGAAATTTTGAGTTCGGAGGCCATTATGATGACGTCATGAGTTAATTGAGGGTCAAATGAGACATGAAATCATATCTCTGATTCATACTCACTCAAAATATGAAAAAAAAATTGGGGTCACCTTGCATCCTAAAGAGCTATAATGGATTTTGCATAGGCATGTTTTTGCCCATATATGCTATGTATTACAAGAGCTCGCGCGCATTGAAATTTATGTTAAACGGTCGATTATTCAATTATTTATAGTCATAAAGAGACAAACATGGTATCAATTTGTTTGTAAGAATATGTGGAATATTATGAAAGAAAAAAAAGGGCGATTCTATGGTGTCTAATAGTTTTACGCGCGAAAACGCGCGCGCATGCGCGTGTGCGCGATTTTAAAAAAAATGCTTAGAATGGCCTAAAACGTATGCAAAATGATTTTAAGACGATTTTGAGCATTTTAAAATTTTGCGCGCGCATTGACGCGCGGACGTACGCGCACGCGCGCGTTCTTTGACCTGAAATTGACCGGACGGATATTGACCTTGATCATGATAAATATGAACGAGAAATACCTTTTGGTTATGAAGATATGATCATGAGTTAATTTTCGTAAAATTTTACAAAATGGCGCCTAGATGACGTCATCAGTAAAGGTCAATGTTGAAAACGTTATTGTGCTTTGTACATATGTCTATACATATGTGTGCCAAATTTCTAGGCATTTGATTGAGCCATTTCCAAGTTATCTTGTTCACAAAAAAGTGGTTAGAAATAAGAAAAATATATAATAAAGGCAATTCTAACGAAATTATAAGGTGGTCTGTACGTTATACAGCCCACCTGAAAATATATAAATAAAGGCAATTCTAACGAAATTAAGGGTACATTTGAGATAGCTTTTTGTCTCATCTACAACATACTCGAAGTTCAGCGTAAACGAAGCTAAAACGACGTAGATATTGCTCGCGAAAGACGGGAATGTAGAATAGAGTTTTGAGAAAAAGTCATATCCCATAGAGAATACACGCAAAATGTAAAAAATTTACATGCCTCCTTTAATCGCAAAAATACGCCATGCCTTTGTCAAAATGAAAAATAATAGCAATTGCCTTTGTAGGGAATTGTCTCAGCTAGAACATATCAAAATTTGGAAGAAAATCAATCAATATTTACAGAGATACAATCAATTTTCCATAAATATGCTGACGTCATAATATGCAAATTGGAATTTTGAGTTCGGAGGCCATTGTGATGACGTCATGAGTTAATTGAGGGTCGAATGAGACATGAAACAATATCTCCGAATCATACTCTATTAAAATATGAAAACAAATTGGGGTCACCTTGCATCCTAAAGAGCTACAATGGATTTTGTATAGGCATGTTTTTGCCCATATTTGCTATGTATTACAAGAGCTCGCGCGCACGGAAATTTTTGTTAAACGGTCGATCAATCCGTTATTAATAGTCATAAAGAGACAAACGTGGTATCAATTTGTTTGTAAATATATGTGGTATATTATGAAAGAAAAAAAAAAGCAATTCAATGTTGTGCAAAAGTTTTACGCGCGAAAACGCGCGCGCATGCTCGTACGCGCGATTTTTTATAAAATGCTTAGAATGGCCTAAAACGTATGCAAAATGATTTTCAGACGATTTTGAGCATTTCAAAATTTTGCGCGCGCATTGACGCGCGGACGTACGCGCAGGCGCGCGTTATTTGACCTTTTATTGACCGGACGGATATTGACCTTGATCATGATAAATATGAACGAGAAATACCTTTTGGTTATGAAGATATGATCATGAGTTGATTTTCGTAAAATTTTACAAAATGGCGCCTAGATGACGTCATCAGTCAAGGTCAATGTTGAAAACGTTATTGTGCTTTGTACATATGTCTATACATATGTGTGCCAAATTTTTAGGCATTTGATTGAGCCATTTCCAAGTTATCTTGTTCACAAAAAAGTGGTTAGAAATAAGAAAAATATATAAATAAAGGCAATTCTAACGAAATTATAAGGTGGTCTGTACGTTATACAGCCCACCTGATAAAGAATAAAGAATAAAGAAAGAAAATTCTAACGAAATCAATAGGTGATCTGTCATCGACAGACCACCTAATAACCTGCTTCTGACCGCTGCGCTAGCGTACTGCCTTTCTACGTAGGGGGCGACTGTGTATATAGGGGGCGACTGTGTATAGGAGGCGACTGTGTATAGGAGGCGACTCGACCACACAATTTGGGGGCGACTACGTTAGGAGGCGACCGTGTATAGGGAGGCGACTGCGTATAGGAGGCGACCGGCTTGGGGGCGACCTGACCAGACACCTGGTTGACAGGCTGTATTATGAGAAGCCAAATGTGGTGCGGATTCAACCACACCCCCGTCTCTGTTTCCCTCATCATTTTCTTGCGCTATTACCCACTTTCATTATATAGGCCTAATGCAGCATTCATTAAATGTATCTATGTTTCAATATTTCTCCATCATCGCCTCCATTACATTCCTCTTTATTTGCCTTTCTCTCAATCAAGGTCCACACTTTCATTCCCCAGTGCACCCCCCCCCCTTTTGTTTTGTTCCTTCGATCGATCTCTCTCTCTCTCTCTCTCTCTCTTTCTCTCTCTCTCTTTCTTTCTCTCTCTCTGTCTTGCACAGATCCCTTTTTCCTTTTCCGATCACATGAACATTCCGTTTTGCTTAGGGCAAGTCCACTCCAAAAATAACTTACTTTCAATAATATATAAGGAGAAACATCAGACAAACCAATCAAAAAAAGTTTGAGCAGAATCGGATAACTATAGTAAGAAAAATACTTTGAAAATCACAAGATAAATTGGTAACTTGGTAAAATGTTAACTCATGGGTCTGTTACGTCATTGCCTCACTATCCATTAATTGTTTTCTTTATATTGATAATATCAATTTCCAATATTTCCCCTAAAAATCTTATTTCCTCACACCAGCATCCAAGTCATATATTAATGATAGTTTATGTTTTTGTGTGGCGGGAATGCACTGATATAGAGTAATTTTTTCAGTAAAATCATGAAAAATGTGAATTTTGATAAACTATTTATATACAAATCAATGATTATGAATACCGGTATACAATATTCAGAAAATATTTTTGGATTCATCAAAGTTCATTAAAGATTTTGTGAAATGTCATGCAAGTAATATATGACACAAATCATATAGTCCTGAGCAAAAGCATGAAAAAATCAGGTTTTTGATGATAAAAAGGAAAATTAATGGGATAAAGATATATAAAGCAATTGATAATAGTGAGGCAATGATGTCAAAAACTGATAACCAAATTGGCAATTGTATAGTGATTTTCAAAGTTCCATAGTTGGTTAAACTTAATAACTTCCATTTCAATCCAGGTATTTATGAAGCGCCAATATCTAGTTGCCTAATCAAAGACGCTGAAATTTTCTTATTTATCAGAATTTACTCGAATTTGTTTTGCTCCTTTTCTCTCGTTTTATTTTTTGAGTGGACTTGGCCTTTAAGCTGATCCCCCTTAATTCCTATACATATCAAGCTAGGATTTGACATGAAGGAGAGAGGGAGGGGAAAATTAAGCTAGGGTAGTAGGGGCATATAGCCTAATGATTCAACATTGAAAGCTAGTATTAATTCAGGAATCTTGAAAGAGACATATGATGGTATTATTAGACGGTGGCAGCAGACATTTATTTTTTACATCGGGAAGCATAGAGGTAATCACTAAATAACAATTATTTTCAAACAACAGGCTAGGGAAACGGGGATGAATTCAAAGTGTGAACACTCCTAGTTATTAGAGGGACTCTGTTTCTCGGGGGGTGCAGGTGGGGGGTGGGGGGTATTCACTGATTGGTTTGAACGGGTGTGTGCGGCTGAAGCGTCTAAACCCGTAACCATTTTAAGGGCATTTTGGCAAAAATGGTACCCATTATTATATTTATCAGCATAGATGCGCATGAGGCTCACTGCATGGGGATATAAGCGCTACATAATTGGCCATTACTATTATTACACAGTGTAAAAGACTTAATTTTTCAGTATGTTTTACATGAAGAAATAAATCCCATTAGATTACCAAATTGTGTCAGAGATAAACAAAACAAACAAAATTTTGTCTTTCCAAACTGACAAATAATTTATTGATTAATAAACTACAGCAGTTAGATGTATAACAATTCAAATTCAAGGCTATTTACTACAATTTTTTGCTACAGTCTTATACAAACCTTCCTGCATACATTTTTTCTAACTTTATATACCGGTATATTGAAATGAGATAACTCAGATAAGTAATATGACTTTATACAACTTAACTGATTTCCATGTTGATTTGATATTAACATGTTACATTAATTACAATGGTACATAGTTTTAAAAATATATATATATTTCCACAGAGTAACATCTTACAGTAAAAAAAGACATGTTTTACTAGCTGGAATTGCCATAAACCTTATATACAAAACCATTGTACATCAATCACTGTGAGAAGTTATTATTATCTATTATCTGTGAAACACAGTATTTATATTTTTCCCTTTGGGAGTAACTCTCTGGATGTTTTATTATTTAAAGAATATTTTCAACTACAGAAATAGTTGATACCTGTGCCTTAGATATCATTGCATATATTTACACATTTCCCCCTCTTCACAACAACAAATAAGAGGGATAGTATTGACAATCTGTATTATGATACAGGATGTATGTAATATATCAAGTTAGTAATTGCTTTTACTTTTGTCATGTTATCCACTGTGAAATAAATTTTAAAGTTAATTTAAAGAAAAAAGTTCATCAGATTTAGGGTAAGGGTTAGTCTGCCACTTCTTCTTTAAAACTGAATCATTATATGAATGCAACATGTTCATAATAGCATGCAAAACCTTGTAAACACAAGACAAATGCCACTGGACCTCTGCCTTCATTTAGTTAAGATTATAGCTCGAATTATTCTTAAAATACAATGAGAACAAAACGCCTATAATTATAGGTTGAATGATCTTTATAGCCTTTGAACTTTTATGTGGCAATCCTTAAAGTTCACTGCTAAAATGGCTGAAAATAGTAACTGATATATGGTAATAACAGGGTTAAACAACCTTTAATATCCTGTACATTAAATCGCTGACCTTTAACCATTGACCTTCTTAATCCAAAATGTAATCAATTTGTCTCACTATGGTGAGGCGCAATGATTTCAAGTTTGAAGTTCATGGGTCGAATTGTTCATGAGATATCGCAATAAAAGGGCTAAAACCCTGACATTTCTTGGAAATTTACCTCTCTGATCTTCTACCTACTTATCCCCCAAATCGAATCAGATTGTCTTATTACGGTGATAGATACTTGCAACAAGCTTGAAGCTCATACCTCAAATGGGTTCTTGAGATATTGAGATTAAAAGGCTGATAACTGTTATTTTCTGAATTACCTTTGACCTACTTACTCCAAAATGTAATCATATCTTCTTCATATGGTTGTTCTATACTATCCCCAAGTTTAAAGTTCATACCTCTGGTGGGTCTTGAAATATCATAACAGGAAAGAGGGATTGATTGACAAACAGACAAGCCAAAAACATAATGACTTCAGCATCACCTATGTTGGGCAGGGGCATAATAACGATCTATGTAGATTAAGATTTTTGTACTGACCACTTAATAAAATTTCTATTATATTTGAATCTATTTTTAAAGTAGTACATTACAAGATAATTAGGACTGTAGCCATTTTATACGCTGACTGACTACTGCTTTGCTGTATTTCATCGAGGTATTTTGTTCGCAAGATGAACTCAGGAGTATCTTGTCTTGAGAGCTGCACCACAATGGACCTGTTGAATTATTAAAGCAGTGTTTGGACCTTAGTAATCATCAAACATAAATATATATTGTATAACAAATAATGTCACAATATGGCATATAAAACATATCAGGTACTATTCTACAATTAAAAAAAAAAACATTCCTCGTCCCCAAAATTCTACTTTTTAAAAACAACAGATTCATACTTTCCTGTAAGTATATCATTCATAGGCCATGTGGTAAACCAGTCAAAGCTTCTACTATGGGATGAACACAGTCAAATGAAAGTTCTCATAACAAAGGGACAATAAACACAAATCATGGAAAATGCATTTCTTTGAGCATCTTGATGGTCTATAAATAATTATTAACTGTACTGGAAGATAAATATCTTCATTTCCTGGTGATCATGAATGATAATCCTTGATTATATCATTTTTAACTTCAAAAGTAAAGTTGAAGAAAATAATCATGAATAATCTGTGAATTATAAGCTCAGATGATTATGCAAGATTTTCATTATCAAAACAAACCTGTGGCAGGACAGAATATTTAAAGCTGTAAGGTTTCTTGAAAATGCAAGAATTCTAAGGCCAAATTCTTGAAGTTTTTTTCTTTCTTTTTTTTCCCCATCACTTGCAAATTTAGTGCATTGGGATTCTATAGCAACCTTATGATGGCCATTGTCTTTTATCAAAGTGTCTTACCGTTTGTTTGGGAACTACATTGAAGGTATTCTTCAGCTTTTGTAACATCCCCGCTGTTAACATACAGAGCTGTACAGATCTTTGATTTGGTTTGACTGTATTTTGTGCATAATTCCTGTAAAAGAGAGATAAAGGCATCAATTTGAAAATCTTAGTTCTGCTGAGACATGTTCATTTGCAGTTCTCACCACTGCTTATTTCTTTATACACTCTATGATGGAATGTCTCTTTCAGTTAGGTTGCCATAGAGATATGTTACTTTAATTACTTAGCACAACACGGAACAGCATCATAGCTCAATTCAGCTCAATTAAATAACAGGTTTATTATGTAAACATGACAATACCAATAATAATCTTGGGTGATAAAAATCTAGTTACCTCAACTTCATTGCTGAAGTAGGATTGTTACCTCAACTTCATTGCTGAAGTAAGATTGTTACCTCAACTTCATTGCTGAAATAAGATTGTTACCCAAACAACATCACTATAGTATCACAGTTACATTATTTGCCTTGCTACAGTAAAATGGTTACCTTAAAGTTGCTCAAGCATGGGTATGTAGAGGGCAGCACATGGACGTGCGATACCTATACCATCTTGCAAACTTTTACGCACGGGAGCGTAATACCCAGTGTTATGTAGTAGCCACCTTGCCTACATCACGAACGACCGAGTCTAGTCGTGCCGCTCCCAAATTAACACGAGATTCGATTGACTGTTTTTAATTAAGTTTTAAATCATCAAATTTATTGATATGTGATTAATTAAATACATCTAGAAATGCCCATTTTTATAGTTCTGTAAAATGTATTTATTTACAATTTAATCTTGCAAGTTATATTTGATATTTGATGGGAATTTAAAGATTATATTATGGATTTATGGTCAGTGTCCGGGCCTTGTTAGAGCATGTTTAGCGAACTTGCAACATACGCGTACCACTGACCTCTACCATCAGTGATGTGTTGATGATTTCACTTTGTATGCCCTGTACCTACACTGCAAATGTTCATGCAGACTTCCTATGACTGTATTATGTACGATTATTATGGTATTGCACGCGGTACTCCGAAACCACTCCGATGTACACACTAAGTTTCCTTAGTGAGATTATGGCGGTGTCTGTGTGCTGCCTTCTATATATCCAAGCTTAAGCATCTTTCATTACATTACTATACTGCTATAGTTAGCACAAATACATTGACATAGTAGTTGCATTGCTCTTTATAGTTAAATGGTTTAATACCTCAATTAAGTTGATACAGTCTTCAGTCTCCTCTAGGCTGGTCTCCTCATCTGCTTGTGTATCTGCAGGCTGATCAGAATTATCTAAATCAGTACCTTCTACTTGCGTATCTGAAGGCTGATCAGAATTATCTAACTCAGTACCTAAGGAAGGAATGGACATCAAGTATATTAGGAGCTCTACCCTCAATTTAACTGATTTCCATGTTGATTTGATATTAACATGTTACATTAACAATGGTACATAGTAAAGAAAAATATTTCCACAGAGTAACATCTTACAGTAAAAAAAGACAAGTTTTACTAGCACTTGGACTGCCTCTAAAGTGACCAGGTATCATTGTGGAAGGTCGATGAAAAACATCTACATAATTTTTGTATGACGGAAATGTTACTTATTATATTCCTTTTACTGTATTATCTATTATCTGAGAAAAACAATATAATAATTATACAGGCATGGGAGCAGCAGCAGCAGCTCATTGCCCTTCTTGAAAAAGAGCAAAATCACTAATTACCATCATAATTTTCAACAACAAACCTTCCAAAAGATATTTACGACATGAGAGGAAAAACTTAATGAAATTGCTCACTTGTATTTCTATGTGGTGTTGATGTATATCTGGTTCTCTTCATTGGAAGCACATCACTCATCGTCTCCTCTGAGGCTGATGAATCTGAGACTATCTCTATCCCTCTCCTTAAACGTCTAGAGGAGGTCCTATAACACAAAGCCAATAATTCAGTTTCACATTTCTTTTGAAACGTATGCCCCCTAGCTGGATGCTAATTTTTAAAAGCAGAAACAAATGTTGCTTAACAGTGATTGCCTCTTATGTGAATTGGTCTGGTAATTGGTTCTCTTGTCTGCCTTCATACTAAACAAGGGTTCAATCTTGAGTCCTTGAAGTCATTGCATTTGGCAAAGACTTGAGTACCTCATCTGGAAGATACGTGTGTGGAAATGCATACAAGAAACCATTTTATTTGTGATGGTATTAATGGCTTATAAATCATAAAGGTGTCATAGTTGAGTGGTTAAGCACTTGACTTTAAATGCAAAGGTTGTGGGTTCGATCCCCGACACTGCAATAATGTCCTTTGGCAAGGTATTAATCTACATTTGCCACTCCATACCCAGGAAAGCAAAAATGTAAACAGATGTTAGTGAGAGTAACAATTGGAATTGATTTTCTTCAAGTAACTTAAGCTTGTCAAGCCTTTTCGATTTCACTTTTGACTTTGCAGAGGAAGCCATTGAGCTGTACAAGCAACATCATTATAGTCGACTATATTAAATGATACTCCCCAATAGTCGTATTTCTGTCTCAGAATTATACGCTCTCATATTATGATTACCTTACTCATACCTTCTATTTGAAGATGAGTCCACTATGGGTAGTTGTCTTGGTTGAGTTGGTTCCTTCTGCGATTCAATGGAATCTGTACCTGCAAAGACAAACCATTGATTTATCATTCTCTCTGGTTAAAGGCATGTTTCTGAGATAAACATTGTAGCACGAGATGTACAACTACAAATATTGTTCATCATTGTAATATCTCTCATATTGTGTATGAAATAACTGCTAAGATTTAAATTCTATCATGAGTTTTGCTAAATATTTTGAATTCCTAGAAGCTTGAGTATAGACCCATTTTATTGTCAATAATATTGGAGACTGCTGACTGTGCCAAACGTAGCTTCTAGTTTTTAGTGTTGTCATTTCCAAGGCAGATTAAAATGACATTTCAAAATGGAACAAGACAAATGTTAATGCATCTCTATTATGCTGTATCACATCCTTCTTGTTCTTTGTATTATTTTTGTTGTTGCTACTTACAGTATCATAGTAAAGAGTCTGCTGGGTTGTAGTTTCCTTCATGTTATATTTGTGCAGACTTCACATTGAAATCAATTAATAAATATATATAATGTAATTACCGAATTTGAGTTTGAAAGGAGTCTTTCTCTTCTTGGCTGATGACAGACGGACAACAACAATCTTCTCTGGTGTAGAGAAATCTTCTTTGCTTGATCTACAACAGAAATAAAAATAATACAACATATCTGAATATTGTCAAATATACAAAGTCATGATTCATCTATGTTATGCAATGTAAGACTACAACAAATAAAAGTCACTCATTCAATCTTAAATATTAAAAAGCCTTCAAAAATTTACATGCAACAACAGGAAGATTTTTTTTTTTTTTTTTACTGCATCATTTCTTTTGGGGATTCCCAATTCTTTATTTATTTGAGGAGCATTATTTGTGATTTGTAATCTTTTACACAATTTTAATCCTGGGTTTCCATAGCAATGTCCTCTTTTCCTCTCAAATCACATTTCCTGTAGTCCAAGTTGGTTATTTCTGCAGATAACCTTTCAGTTGATTGCCTCTACACATAGGTTTGGGACTTCACATTACTTTACCTTCCATGTGTGCTAATGTCTTCTTTACCATTCCCTTCCGTCTGCATGGCACCATCATCAATTTCATCTACCTGCATGGCACCACTCTGCTTACCATCATCATCTGTTCCACCATTCTGCACACCAACACTATCCATTTCAACATTATTGCGTTCTTTAACATCACTCTCTTCTCCTGCTTTTTTATTTTGGTTTTCTAGTATCTGCTCTCTCCTTGTCCTTCTATCTACATCATGTTTCTCTTTATGACAAGAATCCCGTTGGTTTTTAGCTTTTCTCTCAATTCCCTGTTTTCTACCTACAACAATCTTTTCATCTCTTACATGCATTCCATCACTTTTACTTCTGGTTTTGTATGAATACTTTGTTGTTGATGTTGTAGTAGCATCATCTTTTTCCTTCTTTGTTTGTCTTGTTGATCTTTGCACTACATGATCATGTACAACAGGTCTGTCTGTTTGCTGGCTTTGGTTCTCATCAGAAGAACTTGCTGCTGTTGAGCGCCTTGGAGTGCGCCTTGGAGACGAGGTCGTGCGCCTTGGAGTGCGCCTTGGAGAAGGGGTCTTGCGCCTTGGAGACGAGGTCGTGCGCCTTGGAGAAGAGGTTGTGCGCCTTGGCGTGGGCCTTGAAGACAAGGTTGTATGCTTTGGAGAAGCGGTTGTGCGCCTTGGAGAAGAGGTCGTGCGCCTTGGAGAAGAGGTCGTGCGCCTTGGAGACGAGGTCGTGTGCCTTGGAGTGCGCCTTGGAAAAGAGGTCGTGCGCTTTGGAGACGAGGTCGTGCACCTTGGAGATGAGGTCGTGCGCTTTGGAGAGGAGGTCGTGCGCCTTGGAGACGAGGTTGTCCCATCTTCAATACCTCTATCTCTTCTGTCATCTGCATTTTTATCTGAATAAAGAATATAGTTCTTTTAATCAGTTTTCAAATGTGTGTGCTATCTTTCATAATTTCAGAACTAAAAAGAAAATCACCTGAACTATCTGACACTCTTGAGAAATCTGTATATAGTTGCGCAGAATGGAGACTACTTGCGCACCCCCCCCCCCCCCCTGGATCTGCCACTGACTCACACTACCTCTGCAATACAATAGCTACAGCACCCTTAAATTTCCACTGACTAAGGAAATTTGATGTAATATTATGATGGCCTATGGAATTGCTAATGGACTGATGATGCATGGCCCCCCCCCCCCCCCCCCCCCCCCCCCCCGCTATAAGATTCAATATATCTATGGAAATGTTAGAATCTGTAATCTCATTTTAACACTAAACAAAACTCACCTTTTAAATCTTCACTTGCTGCTTGAAAGAGATCCATGTCGAAGGATGACGTGTCACTATGTTGCTCTACTGCTGTATTCTCTTCAGTTTGTGCTACATCACTGCTAAGCTTAATTTCTCTCTCATTGGAGTCTTCATCATTGGAGTTACTCATATCTTCGTCTGAATCTAAGGAAATGATAACAAACAAGAACAGGACCAATGCTACTGCATCTCAAATATGACTCAACCTAAAAAAAGCTTGAAATATCACAATGAGAACAAAAATCCTATAATTTGAATTGAACCGACCTTCTGACCTTTGAACTTTGACATGATTATCCCCAAATCTGAACACTTGTCCAAAATTTAATCAATTCATCACAACAGACCTCTTGAGATAACTTTGGTTACAATTGTCTCCTTGGTTATCAAGTTATTGCTTAACGAGCTATTTTGGAAGTTCCTAACAGTTTGTGACCCTATGACCTTTAACCTCTCATATTTAATTTATAATAGCTTATCGTTACATGTTTATACGTGTACATCTGGGGTTTTTACACTTTGAAAATCATGTGACCTTTGACATCTCACACTCAAAATCTAAGCAGTCCATCTGTACGTACTTCCTCTAAGAATATACCTGGATCTGTTTGTTGTTTCATCAGAAGATTTTCTTCACGTTTCTTGGTGTATTTATTGAGACTTCCTTCAAGCTTCTTTAAAAAGTGGTCCCGCATGGATTGCCACGAGTGGTTTGTTATCTGTGCAGATCATGGTACAAAACAACATTTAAAACATAATACTTGATCACTTTTTTTAAAAAAGAAAAAAGATCTACATTAAATAGAATTAACCTACCGTATCACATGAAATGTACAGGGGTGTATGTAATATACAGTCAGAGCTACATCAAGTGAAACAACAAATATATGACCTCTCCCCCCCCCCCCCCCCTCAAAAAAACAAAAACAAACAAAAAAACAACAGGTTAATAATAACTACTGCTATAAGAGCGTATATACGCCACTGAGAGTTCAAAAATATATTTCATGGAATTTGAAAACTAGAATATCTTGAGAACTGAAGCTAATGAGTACATTTTAAATCATCTGTCTCGATTAAAAATGTCATACACAACTGGCAAAAATTCCACTTCCCAACCAGTTGACTGAAAATGATCAGAATGAATCACACTGCTTCATGCAACTACTTCAACTTTCCTGAAACAAGTCTCACAAATAGTTTTAAAAAATGTTCAGTGGGCACTTTCAAAGTCAATGATTAAACTTGATTGATAACACCAATACAATGGATTTTAATTTCACCTTCATGATTTCCATTCTTTGCCAGGTTTTGTTGCCACAATATTGATAAGGATGTTTGGCGATATACTCAAGGATAGCTTTGTCTTCAGCTGCAGTGTAGTATGATCTCCTGTGTAAATTTACATTTACCGGTATACATATTTATACAGTTATCACACAAGTCAAATTTATACAGTTATCACACAAGTCAAATTTTTTACCACACTGTGAAGTGTGTAATTTACAGTTTCCTAAGTCAAATTTTGCATGAGTCAAAGCAATGTAGTAAATTAACAGAATATAAAGTACTAAAAAATAACTCCATGACATTATTCCTCAAAATTTTCTAAAAATAGTACAGAAATAGAAGTATGTACTTTCATGTTTCTCTATTACATTTTCATAAATATTTCCTTGACTGATCTTGATTTGTATGATTTTTGTACACAACTTTTAGTATATTTTTCTTTTTTTCATTAATTTTCCAGGCCTGGAAATCTATTCTCAAGTTTTCACAACTTTTACAAGTTTTCATTGACCCCACGAACCCTGTAAAACTTAAGTTGATATGTATGACAAAGCATGTAATATTATTAAATCCCTTCTTGAATTCTTAGGTTTTTCACTAATACACTAGGAACATGCTTGTACTGGACATAAATCATTAACTCTGTATATTGTCTACTATGTTAAGCATACTAAATACAAACAATGCTGCAAGAAGTGTTTTCAAAATGTAGACATTTATTCATTGATTTGGTAACAATTCGTCCCTATTTTCACGAAGTGACGGTAGTGAGGAAAATCGTAACGCAAAGTGAATGCAATTTTTTTCACTACCGTCACTTCGTGAAAACAGCGACGAATTAATACATAATAACATGGATCAAGTAAGGAATAAGCTTGAAATCTTCTGCATTCTAGTATAAAACAAATCTTTAACTCAAAGCTCTTTAATATCCTTTACATCACACTTGTCTTATACATTATAGAGTATTACCCTACATAAGAAATTTATCCTACCCTTTTGTAGAAACAGAAACTGTCACCTCTGATACTGAAGTTGATTGTTCCTCTTTCGTAGAACTTTTTGCTCTGAGGAGAGAAAAAAAATTGCTTTTATGTCTGAACCTATGACAACATAAATGTTTCATTTAAAAAATTTCAGATTAAAGTATTGTCTCGATAAAAATAAGACAGGTAAGAATTTCTTCCACTGGCTGGCATGAAGAAAACAAAGAAAAGGTGTGATGCAAATGAAAAAAGGATAACACTGCATCTTATTATAAGACCCAAAAGAACAAGGAATTAGCAATATGACAAAGAATATATATAGAAAAATAATTTGATTAATTCATTAAATAACTAAAAAATAAATAAATAATAGAGAGAAAATAGCCAAAACAGAGGGTATGATAGAATGAGAAGAGAAAAATGACATGAGAATGATTAGAATAGAAAACAGAAGAATATAATGTGTCAGTCAAGCAGTGATAGAATATCGGTAGATGAATGTACCGGTATAAACTATACAGTAGGTCAAAGCTACAGGGGGTAAAGAAATAAAGGAATCTGTTTTAATTTTTGTTTATACACCTACATGTAATACAATTTGTATGTACATGTTCTTCACGCATGTACAATTCAGATTAAAAGGCAACATAAATGGTATTACACTACAACCATTACATTTTATAGTTGCACGATAAGCACAGGTCTGATACTGGATGATTAGTCCCTTACAGGCAGCTCTACATTTGCTGTTCAATGTTTTCATAAATTACATTTTTTTCCTACAGAAATATATTTTGACTTACTTTTGCCATAAGAATATTATTGGACACATGTTTTTACACACCATGTCTATAACACAGATCTCTTCCTTCATCAACAACCATGAAGACAAATCATTTTAGAGAATTCTCAGTACAAAAATAATGGAAAATATATATCTTATAGTTGAAAATTGATAAATCAATTACAAGTTTAAAACTTCATAATCTTTTTATTCCTATGTCAGATTTCCTTCAAACTTCACTAACTTGATAATAGAAATAATAATAGTAGAGTCTTACATGTATATTCATAATGCTATGTCTAGCAGATTGCCACTCCTGGTGCTCCATTATTATTACCCGGGCATTAGCACATTACAGTGCACTAGCAGTTTTAAAGAATTAGATTACGCTGGGTCCCCATTTACTTCACCTGGGTGGGGTGTGGCAAATATCGATTAATGCCTACCTGACTGCTGTGGCAAGGATTTAAACCCTGTACCTTGTGATTCACAGTCCAGAGACTTATCCACTGGACCACAACACCTCTACTTGATGCCTTAGTTAACTTTCTTCTGACAATAAGTCTAACAAGGAATATTTTTACAATCCTTATTCTGTATGAGCTGTTTACAATATTCACAACAATTGGTTAAGTGAGCTAGCACTGGGCTTCCCATGAACCAGACTTATCTTGATTATGTTTGGTTTTGAATATTTAGTGATACAACTACAGCACTTATTTTAGCTCTTTTATTGGTTTTTAACATTGAGGATACATTTATTTTGATATTTTTGTTGTATCATTCTATGTTTCCTTAAATAGGAGTCCACATTAATATAACATTGGGAATGAACTCACAAACCACCACACCTTGATTTGTTTACAGAGCAAGGTATCATGACCACTTTGAAAGACAATCTTGCACTGATTCTAAGACATCTTATAAGTGAAAGATAATTTGTACAAACCTGTAACTAAATTTATCTAAGAGGGAGTTGGCAGCTACACAGTCATCAATATACGAAGGCAAGAGGCAGTCAGGGGAAGAATGCTCATCTCCATCTGCTAATATTCTGTACCAAAAAAAGAGTAAATTGATAAAAACACACAATCATTACATTTTTTAGTTTAGTGCTTTTTTTTTTTTTTTTCTTCTTTTTTTTTTTTTCTTTTTTTTGGTGGTGGTACATATACATTGCAAATAATAGCCACTCCAGATACCAACAGATTATCACTATGAGCTGGATAGACCAGCAGTCCCAGTAAGGAGTCCAAAATAGACCCATCAAATCACATTGCAGCTCAGTCGGCCTCATAACACCCAGAAATGATTAGGTACCTCAAGTTTTGATTCCTGAAGTGGGAGAAACAAAAGATCCCTAACACTAAGTCTCAGAGCCCAAGGGCATAACAATGAGGAAAAGGTGAAAACAATTTTTTTTAAATCATTGTTCAAATTTGCTTGGCCATTGTACACCAAATCTATCTTTCATGCTGTTGAACTAGAATACTAACCCTTCTCAGAATGGAATTAAGCAACACTTCCCAAAATCTGATTTGGAAGATTTGGATTGAAAGAAAACTTGTTCTGTCATTTGTGATGTTGTCTAACATGATGGAAATGAAATATAACTCCCAGTTGAAACTTTAAAGTAGGAAAGAGGCAGCATTGTAGATGCCAAATCAATGAGGCGACTGTTACCAGAATATTTCTATTTCAGAGGGAGGGGTGGCAGTCTTCACCCTTTAGTTTGGATAGTTCTTTTATTTCTAATACATGATTGTAGGTTTCTTCAAATTACTTACTTGATTACATCACCCTCTGATGGATCATGTCGACTTGTAACTCTCCCTCCTCCACTCTGAACAATTCAGAAAAAAGAAATATATTTTTAGTCATGAACCTTTGATTACTGGATAACTGGATTACTGAAAACGGCCTGGTTCCCATAGGTAATGGGTTTAAAACCCCGAGATATTTTCAATTTATTTTTTCATTTTATTGTTACCGGTACCGGTAACTCAGTGTTAATAAAATAATACTGATAATGTAGAAAGATGCAGTACAACTACTATTAAAGTTCAAATTAAAACAATTTTCATGACTACCGTAGGTAGATCTAGGTTAACACCTTTATTTGACATATTTTACATTTTTTAACATTAAAGTTAATTATTTGATTGTGTTTCTTGTTATTTATTGATTTCATTCTTATAGATGCCTGATCCGCAAGACTACGTACAAAGTAATTTCATGCAAGTTTTTTATCTGTTTCAATTTTGATTATTTCAATTTAAACAACTTAAATTTCTTTTCCTTAAATTCCATTGTAAATGACTGATGTGGAAGACTAGTCAACACACCCTTTCAAGACAAGCCTAAAGGTTAAAAATCATTTATGAATTTACCAACACTATGGGAAAGAAGATCTGAAGAGAAGTATTGGGAAAGAAGGAGAAAAGGGGGGGTAAGGAAAGGTAGAGGACAAGTGGAAATGTATGTGTGTGTTTGAGAGAGAGAGAGAGAGAGAGAGAGGCTGGGGGGATTAGAGAGAAGGGGGGAACCATCAACTTTTGATGAAATATAATTTTTTTTGATAGATTAGATCTTGCTCTTTAACCTCCACCTTGTCCTTTTCAGGGGTCTCATTTTCTCTGAGGGTTAGCAGACTAATTTTAAGTGTCACCACCACCCCCCCCCCCCCCCTCCCCTTCCCTAAGTCTCATACTATATAATCGTTGTTGTGCACTTGTATTGTGCAGCGGTTTGCCGTGAAACCTGTGAGAAGGTGCATGTAGGGGTCTATACTAATGTCTTTGTTTTTAGGAAAAATATTTTAAAAATTGACACGACACAGGTAAGAAAGATTAGGCCTAAGACTTTTAAATCATGACCATTATTTGAACAATTGGTGAATATTTAGTTGATTTTTGGGATGTGATAGAACATTATAGTAGGGTATCTCCATCTTCATACGAGAACTGTCCATGTCTAATCCTGGCACAACGTTGTGCATCGGAGGAGACATGAACTTGCCCGATATAGACTGGGAGACAGAAGAGATTACATCCCATCAATACAGGAAATCCCTAAGTGAGACATACCTGCAGACTCTGGCAGATGTAGGACTTCGTCAGATTGTCAACTTCCCAACAAGAGGATCTAATACACTCAATGTCATCATCACAAATCGTCCAACGTTGGTTGGACAGTGTGAGCCTATGCCGGGACTCAGTGACCACGACGTGGTATTCATGGATATGTCTGTCAGAGCGTATAGGAATAAAAGGCTGACATTGACGGTATTCATACAGCTGCTAAAGCATGGGCAGACATGACACAACATCTCCAGTTGAAACTCTCTCTGCTGAAATCCAACAAGCCCTGGATAAAATTCTAAGGGATCATGTGCCAACCAAGATGACTTCGACACGGCCAAACCAGTGTTGGTTTAACACCGCCACAAATTGCATATGTCGCAAGAAGGCCAGAGCTTATAGGAAGGCTAAGAGGATCTCATCCATGCGTGGTAGTGATGCAAAAGCAACAATCAAAGCTTGGCATCGCTACAACGCTATAAAGACGACCAGTTGTGTAGACAAGCCTACAACAAGTACCTTGCTGACCTGATTGACAATGATCCAGGCTGCAACAAGCGTCTCGGAGCCCTTGTGAGAACTATGTGCTGTGATCACGTGGGAGTAGCACCATTGAAGGAAGGCAACATACTTCACTGTGACCCGAAGCAGAAAGCCAGTATCCTGGACAGGCAGTTTGCCTCGGTGTTCACCACTGATGATGACACAGCTCTACCAGACCTGGGACCCACAGTCCTTATCCAGCCATGGATGATACATCAGTTAGCCAAGCAGGTGTAGCTAAATTGTTGAAGAAACTGAAGCCGCATAAAGCTACTGGGCCAGACGGCATCTCTGCTAGACTCAAGGTGACAGCTGATCAGATTTCACTTGCCACTAGTTTGCTTTTTCAGGCTTCCCTACTTCAAGGTGAAATTCCTTCTTACTGGAAGAAAGCCTATGTTGTTCCCATCCACAAGAAAGGGTGTAAGTCATCTCCAGCAAACTACAGGCCAATCTCACTGACAGCAATCTTATCAAAACTATGTGAACACATACTAGTTCTAGTGCATTGTGCTGTCATGCATCACCTGATCAATCACAATCTGTTGTCAGACTCACAACATGGTTTAGGAAGCGAAGATCGTTTGAAACACAACTCATCCTTGCCATCAATGACCTTGCCAAAGGACTGAATGATAGAGAGCAGATAGACTGCGTCTTGTTAGACTTTGCCAAAGCGTTTGACAAAGTCTTTCTGTACTAACGATGTAGGTTAGTAGTAGTATCAAATGCATGCAAGTTACCCGCCTGAGCTAGGCTCATATTTTGCGTTCGAGCCGTTGAAGTAATTTTTGTCCGAAGCTTTGCAACGTCCGAAGTTTGGCGGTCTTACTCTATAGAAGTTTACTGGCTATTACTTTACTCTGTCCATAAAATGCACCTATCGCGATCGACTGCTATCAGTCCATTACCTTGATGTTTACCTTGTGCTCCTGTTTAGTTAAAAATATGTCTTGCGGCCCATGGGATCGCTGATCTCCGAAAAAGCGGAGGAAGAACAAGAAGAAGAAGGTGCCAGGGTTCTCCGCAGCAACCCAAGGGTTTTGTTGGCCTTGTTCAGTAGGAGTCGGCAGTGTGTATTCCATCAAAGGTCCTTGGTAAGTTGGTTACAGTTAGGCCTAGACTAGACCGAATTTTCCATCTCTTTCGTTCGTTAGCCTCTTATTGGTGTAGGGTCGGCCGGCTCTCTCTTTAGAGACGGAAACCGTCTATACACATTCCCTTGATAACACCACGGCCATTTCAGGTCGTAGCGTTTTGCCCCCAAAATCCCCCAACATGTCATTTTACCTCGTGAATATCCAAATGTAAATTAGGCCTAGGGTCTAGGCTATCGGTTCCACTTACTGACTTGATTGAAATAATCCGTTTAATGGTCCCTTTTAAGGAAATTATGGGTCAAAATCGACATCCATGTTGAAAATCTTGCAAGCCGTGTTAAAATCTCGCTGCCGGAGTCATCTAAATCAATCTCATCCCTTCTAGTCTACGCCGAAGGCAAAATGATTATGAAGGAAAAACTGTGCGCCATCTACACGTTCGTAATGGCGTTATCACATGTTGGGATGTTGGGGATAACGAACGAAAGAGACGGAAAATTCGGTCTAGATCTAGGTCTAGGCCTAACTTTTGTTAGACCTACCCCGAGATAATAATTAATATTGATCTATTTTATGTTTTCACTCACTTCAATCAGCAGCTTCAGTCTAGCTCTTGTTGCGGATGGACGCATAAAAAATACCATAGGTTGGTATTGCTGGTCGGTGAACAGCATGCTTGAAAAGTAGGATACGTCTCCGCTTTCTTGCTCAGCTTCATTCTCATGGTCTGCCATTTTTGTTATTCGTATTAGGTCTAATTATGAATCGTTCGCGCGCTACTAGTATGAGGCGCCGTTTGTAGAACTATGATGTAGACAAATTATATGTTATAATCATTATTTAACAAATAATAACCATTATTTACATATAATGCAAGTAAATGCACATTTTTATTTGTATATAATTCTTAAACCACTTTCATTATTTATAAATAATTACAATTCATACTTCATTATTTATAAACTAGACATGAATTCGTCACGAAGACGAATAAGGTGGTCTGTCTAAGTCTTATGATAGATTTGAGAATGGGATAAGTTATATAGACATGTAAACAATGATGATGATGATGATGATGATCTTGATAGTAATGGTGATGACGATGATGACGATGATAATGATAATGTTGATGATGACGATGATGATGTTGATGATCATGATCATGATCATGATCGTGAGCATGATCCTGACATCTAATTGAAAAAATGAGGGAGATGTAGATAGCATATAGTCTCAGCTACATTATACTCAAAAATCAACAAAAAACAAGCGGAAATAACGGCGATATTGCTCGCAAAAGACAGGAATGTAGAATCCAGATTTAAGAAAAAGTCATCTCCCATAAGTATTACAAGCAAAAAGTAATGGATCAAGTGATAATAGGGTAATAATAAATTAAATATAGTTGTTTATTACATTTGTTGCGATTCTACGTGTTTTAATATTCAAATGAGATGGTACAGTGAAAGGTCAAAAAGAAAAAAAAGTGAAGAAAAAAAATTGTTGGAGACGCCCGGACTCGAACCAGGGACCTCGAGGTCGGAAGTCAAGTGCCTTACTGATATACCAAAACATTTCCCATAGAGATTACACGTAAACGGAAAATAGAATTTACAAATCCCACTTTGTAAGTGAAATATGAGCATGATCCCGGCATCTGACCAAAAAATAAAGGGCACACTTATGATAGCTTATTGTCTCAGCTACAACATACTCAAAGCTCAGAGAAAATAAAGCTAAAAAAATGGAGATATTGCTCGCAAAAGACAGGATGTAGAATCCAGTTTTGAGAAAAAGTCATGTCCCATAGAGAATACACGCAAAATGTGAAAAATTGACATGCCACCTTTAATCGCAAAAATACGCCATGATACCTTTGTCAAAATGAAATATTGTGGCAACTGCATTTGTAGAAAATTGTCTCAGCTAGATCATATCAAAATTTGGAAGAAAATCAATCAATATTTACAGAGATACAGTCAATTTTCCAGAAAAATACTGACGTCATAATATGCAAATTGAAATTTTGAGTTGGGAGGCCATTATGATGACGTCATGAGTTAATTGAGGGTCAAATGAGACATTAAATCATATTTCCAATTCATACTCTATCAAAATATGGAGAAAAAAATTGGGTTCACTTTGCATCCTAAAGTGCTATAATGGATTTTGTATAGGCATGTTTTTGCCCATGTATGCTATGTATTACAAGAGCTCGCACGCACGGAAATTATCTTAAACGGACGCTCATTCCGTTATTAATGGTCAGAAAAAGGTGAACAAGGTATCAAAATGCTTGGAAAAATGCGTCAAATATGATGACAGAAAAAAATTGGCGATTCTATGTAGGAAAAAGCAATTACGCGCGAAAACGCGCGCGCATGTGCGTGCGCGCGTTTTTTGCAAAATGCTTAAAATGGCCTAAAACGTATGCAAAAAAAATTTGAGACGATTTTGAGCATTTTTATTTTTTGCGCGCGCGGTGACGCGCGGACGTACGCATGCGCGCGCGTTTTCTGACCTGAAATTGACCGGACGGATATTGACCTTAATCGTGATAAATATGAATGAGAAATGCCTTTCCGTTATGAAGATATGATCATGAGTAAAAAGTACCAAAAAAACACAAAATGGCGCCTGGATGACGTCATGAAAACTTGATGACCTTGAAAATGTTACTCTAACGTCTCATGACAATGACCTATGACTGTGCCAAAATTGAACGAAATTGACTAAACTGATCTTGAGTTATCCTGTTAACAAAAAAGTGTGAAAATAAATAAAAATAAATAATAATAATAATAATAATAATAACTAGAAATTTAATTCGTCATGGGGACGAATTAGGTGGTCTGTCTTCACGTCTTATGATAGATTATAATATTTACTATATTGAGAAAGGGAGAAGTTATATAGACATGTAAACAATGATGATCATCATGATGATCATGATGATGATCTTGATAGTAATGGTGATGACGATGATGATGATGATGATGATGATCATGATGATGTTGATGATTATCATCAACAGACCACGATGACACCAGACTGAAAAAAATGAGAGAACATTTAGATAGTATATAGTCTCAGCTACAACATACTCAAAAATCAACAAAACCAAGCCGAATTAACGAAGATATTGCTCGCAACAGACAAGAATGTAGATTCCAGATTTGAGAAAAAGTCAGCTCCCATAAGGATTACACGCAAAAAGTAATGGATCTAGTGATAATAGGGTAATAATAAAGTAAATATGGTTGTTTATTACATTATTTGCGATTGTACGTGTTTTAATATTCAAAGGAGATGGTAGAGTGAAAGGTCAAAAAGAAAAAAAGTGAAGAAAAAAATTGTTGGAGACGCCCGGACTCGAACCAGGGACCTCGAGGTCGGAAGTCAAGTGCGTTACCGATATACCAAAACATTTCCCATAGAGATTACACGTAAACGGAAAATGGAATTCTCAAATCCCACTTTGTAAGTGAAATATGAGCATGATCCCGGCATCTGATCGAAAAATAAAGGGCACACTTGTGATAGCTTATTGTCTCAGCTACAACATACTCAAAGCTCAGCGTAAACAAAGATAAAACGACGGAGATATTGCTCGCGAAAGACGAGAATGTAGAATCCAGTTTTGAGAAAAAGTCATGTCCCGTAGAGAATACACGCAAAATGTGAAAAATTGACATGCCTCCTTTAATCGCAAAAATACGCCATGATGCTTTCGTCAAAATGAAAATTTGTGTTCACTGCATCTGTAGAGAATTGTTTCAGCTAGAACATATAAAAATTTGAATGAAAATTGATCAATATTTACAGAGATACAATCAATTTTCCAAAAATATGATGACGTCATAATATGCAAATTGAAATTTTGAGTTCGGAGGCCATTATGATGACGTCATGAGTTAATTGAGGGTCAAATGAGACATGAAATCATATCTCCAATTCATACTCTATCAAAATATGAAAACAAAATTGGGTTCACCTTGCATCTTAAAGCGCTACAATGGATTTTGTATAGGCATGTTTTTGCCCATGTATGCTATGTATTACAAGAGCTCGCACGCACGGACATTATCTTAAACGGGCGCTCATTCCGTTATTAATGGGCAGAAAAAGGTGAACAAGGTATCAAAATGCTTGGAAAAATGTGCCAAATATGTTGACATGACAAATTTTGCGATTTTATGTTGCAAAATGCCATTACGCGCGAAAACGCGCGCGCATGCATGTGTGCGCGTTTTTTGCGAAATGCTTAAAATGGCCTGAAACGTATGCAAAAAAAATTTGAGACGATTTTGAGCATTTTTATTTTTTGCGCGCGCGCTGACGCGCGGACGTACGCATGCGCGCGCGTTTTTTGACCTAAAATTGACCGAACGGACATTGACCTTAATCATGATAAATATGAATGAGAAATGTTTTTCCGTTATGAAGATATGATCCTGAGTAAAAAGTACCAAAAAAAACACAAAATGGCGCCTGGATGACGTCATGAAAACTTGATGACCTTGAAAATGTTACTCTAACGTCTCATGACAATGACCTATGACTGTGCTAAAATTGAACGAAATTGACTAAACTGATCTTGAGTTATCCTGTTAACAAAAAAGTGTGAAAATAAATAAAAATAAATAATAATAATAATAAAGAAAGAAAATTCTGACGAAAACAATAGGTGATCTGTCGTTGACAGACCACCTAATAATAAAGAAAGAAAATTCTGACGAAAACAATAGGTGATCTGTCGTTGACAGACCACCTAATAATTACAATTCATACTTCATTATTTATAAATAATTACAATTCACATTTCCATTAGACCTATGTATAAATAATGACAATTACGTTTCATTATTTATATACCGGTATAGATCTAGATCTAGATCTATTTGCCATTATTTATAAATAATTACAAATCACATCTTCATTATTTATATATGATGACAACATACATTATCAATATATATAAATATATATATATATATATATAATGACAGGGGCGGATCTAGCTTTTTGCTAAGGGGGGGGTTGACCAAAATAATGACGATGCGGAGCATCGTCCACGAGCCGCGAAGCGGCGAGCCGATTTTTTGGGGGGTGTTTATTTGAACCCCGTAAGTGATGTTTTCCTGGCATCTATTAACACAATGGAGACCATAAAAAGCAGTGCATGATAACGTCTTTTTAAATCAAGTAACAGTTTAATACATAGTTATATCCAGAGTTATCATGTGTTTGGTTAAGTTACCAGATGAGTTGAATATCTTCTCACAATATTTGCACTTGAAAGGGTTTCTCTCCAGCGTGCGTTCTTTTTTCTTTCTTTTTTTCTTTCTTTTTTTCTTTTTTTTCCTTTTTTTTTTTTTTTTTTTTTTTTTGGGCCGCCCAAGGGGGGGGGGTTGCAACCCCCCCAACCCCCCCCCTGGATCCGCCACTGAATGAAAAGCGCATTTCCATGATTTTAAATAATGGAAATGTGCATTTCGTTATATATTATATAATGGAAATGCGCTTTTCATTATATATATATATAATGGTAATGCGCTATTTTCATTATATATATAATTTATATATATTATATATATTTAATTTTTGTTACCAATATTTCTTCTGATAAGCTTTAATTTGATACAAGATTAGGCTGCCGCTTTCTAGAGCCAATTTTTCTTGCCACATTACCCCGAAAGATGTGTTTAGTTTGGTCCGCTGCTGAATCATGAAGGATTCGCGGTCATAAACTATGGCGCGTGGGGGCGCGTGA